GGTATCTTCTGTTAGAGCAGCACTAGGTAACCACAACAACTGTTCAAAACTCTATCAGAAGACTTTCCCTTCAACACTGTCCTTCAGGACCTTTCCTGAGTGGGAATGTAATGGGTCAACAGCTCACTTTAAGCCAGTACCAACACATCAAGATTCCTCGACAGGTTTGGGTTGTTTTTTTCTTCTGTCATTTGGTTATAGGAATCCCCCATGGATTCATGGGTATAAGCTAAGGAAAAGCTATCAGTGCAACAGAGTCCAGAACATGAAAAGTCTGAAACACATATTCATACAACTTATTTATACTCTCTGGACCTGATCAAAGGAGCTCTGGTGGCATAGTGCCTAAAGCATTTGACCTCTAACCAGAAGGTTGGTGGTTCAAACCCACCAGCCGCTTCATGGGAGGACGTCTGGGCAATCTACTTCTGTAAAGATTTACTGCCTTGGAAGCCCAAAGGGGGTCACTATGAGTGAGAACCAACTCGATGGCAGTGAGTTTGTTTTTTTTTTTGGTTTGGACCTGCTCAGATCTGATTCTGAAAATAATATTCCTATCATATGATGCATTGTTGCTGTGCCCTCTTGACCTTATGACTTGGTGAATCTGATAATATCTATATCAGGATAGGTAGGTCTGGTCACATAGTTACTTGTATATACCATGTTGAGGTTCTCAGCCTTTACCAGGGCTGAGGAACATGGCAGGGACTGCTTTTCAAATATTCACAACTATAGAAGGAATCCACCACCTTTTGCCAATTTGTTACACTGTAAAGGCTTGCATGCTGCTAAGATGTTGAGAGCTAAACCACCAAAATTTCATATGCCAGTGGAGTCACCCATGTTGGGCAGATTTCAGAAAAGTTTCCCAACTAAGACAAATTAGGAAGAAAGCTCTGGTGATCTACTCTTAAATATTAGCCAATGAAAATTTTATGGAGCACAATAGAATATTATCTGTCTGTCTTGCTTTGAAAGTCATCTGAGGGAATCAGTCACTAGAGGAGGAAATCACATTTGGTCAACTAAAGGGACAATGAGCATGAGGGAGACCCTTGTAAGATGATTTGGCGCAATAGCCACAGCAATGGACTAGAACGTGCTGGTGATTGTGAGGATGATGCAGGACCAGGCAAGGACTTATTTGTCTATACAAAAGATCATCACAAGTAGGAGTTGACTCAAAATCAGTTATCTATCTATCAAAGGCATGGCTTTGTTCCAGAACTGTAAGGAGCTTGCACTATATCTCTCTTACTGGGGCTTGCCAGAGACCCTAATCCATATGTTTATTCATCATGGATACCATTAGCGTCATCAAATCTCCTGGGTAATAGGGCTTATTACACTATAGCTCAGAACTTCCTAAACATCATTCCTTGTTCCTGGGAATGACTTTAGGATGGTGCCATGTACCCACTGTGCCTATTATGATGTATTCTAGGCCAGGACATCTTTGATCACCTTGCCTCTCTCCATAAGCAACCATTCTATCTGAGAGTCATAATGGCATTTCTGGTCCTGTGGTATCAGTGTGAGCTCAGATCTTGATCCAGCAGTCATCAAAACATCTTGAAAGCTACCTTGTTCAGAATAGAGTTATTCCAGTTAAATGGCCACAGGTGTCTTTGGGGAAGAGTCAGGAGAATATTTATTGTATATTGGCGAGGTGAAATTGGTAGCTATTTTATCAAGGGATCAGTCTTCTCTTTTAATTAATGGGCTCTGAGTCTTAAAAATGGTTTAGATCTACAGAAAGGGTAACAGGTCAAAATGACTTATTCCAAGAGCAGAAACAGGCTTTGGCTTACTTTTTTTTCCAGTTAATAAATCATAATAACAAATAAAAAAATCTTACTGAAAATAATTCAAAAATGGTTACAGCAGTATATTGACAGAGAACTTCCAGAAATACAAGCTGAATTCACAAGAGGATATGGAATAAGGAATATCATTGCTGATGCTAGGTGGATCTTAGTTCAAAGCAAAGAATATCAGAAAGATATTTACTTGTGTTTTATTGACCATGCAAAAGCATTCAATTGTGTGAACCGTAACAAATTATGCATAATATTGAGAAGAATGGGAAGTCCAGAACACTTAATTGTACTCATGAGGAACCTGTACATAGACTAAGAGGCTGTCATTTGAATAGAACAACGGAACACTGCATGGTTTAAAGTCAGAAAGGGAGTGCATCAGGGTTGTATCTTTTCACCATACTTATTCAATCTATATGCTGAGCAAATAATCCAAGAAGTTAGACTATAAGAAGAACATGACATTAGGATTGGAGGAAGATTCATTAACCTACAATACACAGATGACACAACTTTCCTTGCAGAAAGTGAGGATAACTTGAAGCACTTATTGATGAAAATTAAAGACTACAGTCTGCAGTATGGATTACACCTCAATATAAAGAAAACAAAAATCCTCACAACTGGACCAATATGCAGCATCACAATAAGTGGAGAAAAGATTGAAGTTGTCAAGGATTTCACTTTACTTGGTTCTATAATCAATACCAATGGAAGCAGCAGTCAAGACAGCAGAAGACATATTGCATTGGGCAAATATGCTGCAAAAGACCTCCTTCAAGTACTGGAAAGCAAAGATATCTCCTTGAAAACAAAGATGCACTTGACACAAGCCATGGTATTTTCAATCACCTCATATGCATATGAGAGCTGGACAATGAATAAGGAAGACCAAAAAAAGTGTCAATGTTTTTGAGTTGTCGTGTTGGCGAAGAATACTAAAAGTACTGTGGACTGCTGAAAGAACTAACAAATCTATCCTGGAAATAGTGCAGCCAGAATGCTCCTTAGAAGTGAGAATGACTAGACTTCATCTCACCTTCTTTGGTCATGTTGTCAGAAGGGACCAATCCCTGGAGAAGGATATGATGCTTAGTAAAGTGGAAGGTCAACAAAAAAAGAGGAAGGTCCACAACAAGATGGACTGACACAGTGACTGCAATGATGGACTCAGATATAGCAAAGATCATAGGGCTGGTACCAGACCAGGCGGTGGTTCATTCCGCTGTACATAGGGTCACTGTTCTGGTTACCTAGTGCCACTCTGACAAGAATATACCACAAATGGGATGGCCTTAACAAACAGGAGTTTATCCTTACAATTTGGAGGCTTTAAGTCCAAGTTCAATGTGCCAGCCTCTAGGGGCTGGGTGAAAGCCCCTCAACCTTGGGGTCCAGCTCTGCCTCCTGCTCCAGGCCCACTGGAGCTAGAGGTGTTTCTTCACTCAGACACTACTGGCTGTTGAGGCTGAGAAGCCCCAAGGTTGACAAGTAAAAAGGCACAGTCCCGATGTTACCAAACCACATGGCAGGCCATTAGCTTAAGTCCATTGTAAGTCCCAAGGTCAGCAGAGCATAGAAGGCTGCTGAGCAATGACATGGCTACATGCAGGGTCAAGCGTGCCATAAGCTAGAGACCATTCTCAAAGCTTCTCCTTATATACAGGAAACAGACCACACACCCAAAGACAGCTACTCAGCTGCTCCCAGTAGATTCCACCATGGAGTTGATTACCAGTCTTATCATGGGGAATAGTACATCCAGCTGCCCAGCCACCCAACCAGGCCTAGCCAAGTTGACATACAAACATAACCATCACAGACACTATGAGTTGGAGATGACTCTATGGCACCTAACAACAACAACAGTTAATAAATCAAGTTGATTGGCTATCTATATTACCCTTAGGTACAACCATGGACCACTAACCATAGCCATACATACCTGAGATTAATGAAGGCATTCTGATTGCCACTTCGTGTTGCTACTCATTAGAGTAATAACAGTCACATTACCTCTGTTAGTTATTGACCACTGGACTCTGCTGTTTTTAAAACTTATCATATCCATTGATGCCAGGAATCCCAGTTCTATGACAGCACTGTCTATCAATGGAGCTACCTATATCTACCTGGGTTACCACTGAGTTTCCTGCAGATGATGGTACTCCTCTCTCCTGTCTCCTCCATTCCCTTCCTGGGGAACACAGTCAGATGCTGACTTCTCTAGTTTCATATAACATTCCACAACTATGGTCTAATATCTAAAACTGCCACTTTTCAAGCCTTTTAACCTTTCCTCAATACTCTGCTAAGGGAGTTTAGCATTTTTCTTCATGCACGATAAGCCATCATTATATCCAAGCTTCAGGAAGTCACCTCAGCAGCTTATTAAGACAGGTGTCATTGTTAAGATGTCAAACCCAAATTTTAACTTCCCATGCTAATAAAATTTTCCCTTTCCAGTTGTATGTGCTGCCTTCCCTAATAAAACAACCTTCAGATCCATTGTAACATATGCTCCCCTGGGTCCAGGCCCTGCATTCTTCACTATGCAAGCTACTTCCTTTTGTAGCAAGGAATGAATGATTCCTCCTACCCCTTGAGCTATGCTGCAACCTCATTCTTGTTTCTAGTCTGGAGGCAATAAGGGGAGATAATGGTATATTTGGAGAACAAGCATTATTTTAAAGGACGCCTGCCTCAGGTGAAGATTTTGGGGAATGTTGAGGATGATTGACTCTTACAAAGATAAAAGCACTGCTTCTTCCATCCCACAAAGTAAAGGAGGGTCTCGGTTTCAAAATGTGCCAGAACAGGTTCATCCACACAAAGTTCCCCACCCCATCCTTAGGGTTCCACTCTTTCCTCTTGAGGCCTCTTATTTCAAGACAGGATATTATCAAAGCCAAGCATTCAGTATGTATGTATGTATGTATGTATGTATGTATGTATGTATGTATTTGGAGCTCTGGTAGCATGGTGCCTAAGGCACTTGACTGCTAACCAGAAGGCTGGCGGTTCAAACCCACCAGCCGCTTCTTGTAAAGAAGATTGGGCAATCTACTTGTAGTGATACTGCCTCGGAAACTCAAGGAGGGGTCCCTATGAGTCAGGTCCAACTCAACGGCACATAACAACATAACATTTATTTATTGGTGGTGTAGCTACCCTTACCTTAAATACTGAGCCTCATTTTCTACACAATTTGTCATACAGCTGCTGGAAACAAGGACTCCTCTAAGTGCTGCCATGCATGCTTATTGACTCTTAGAGTGCCTTGAGTTGGCAACTAGCTCACTTTTTTCTCTTTTTCAAAGCTTCTAAAGCCTTTATTTAAAAGGCAATAAACTTCACAGTCCTTATTACTACTGCCCCTAAACCAAGTGCTACCTATCACATACATCAATGTTTCACCTTCCACTTGCACCCCAGGCCTTCACAACAGGTGAAAGCCAGAGTACTTGTAATGTTATGCCAGGGTCATAACCACCAACAATATGGCCCCTGTCACTAAGTGCCCTGTGAGTGATGCAGTTCCAGATCCTAATGAGCTTCTTTCTAGGACTACTTCAAGTAACAATTGATTTATTGGCCTGGGTTCCATATAAAGCAGAATGAGGTAAATGCTTATGGGTAGGTTTGTTTTGGTAAGTAATGTGAAACAGGAGTGAGAGACTAGGGAGAACAAAACAGAGAATGAGAAATAGGTAATGCAAAGCACTGCTTTGAGCAACTGAGGTGTGATACCTTTAGAAACTCTCTGAGGAAATGTGTGGAAGGAAACTCAGAATTGTCAGCCTGAAGAATCAAAGAGGAGAGTATTTATCAACTGGCTTCTATTATCCCTAGTGCGGAGTTGCTCCATGGAGTCTTTCACATGTCCATATTAGAGTATGTGTGAGAATGGCCAAATGGAATCCACAAGATTGAGACAGCAAAGAAGTCCTGAGGGAAAAATGCAAAAGATACACAATGCAGCTGAGTAAAAGCTTTGTGTGTGTGTGTGTGTGTGTGTGTTTAAAATAAATATTGTACTATAATGTAGTGTTCTTACACTAAATTACCACATAACCAGTCACTGTAAAGTTGATTCTGACCCATGGTTACCCATGTGGGTCAGAGCACAGCTGGGCTCCACAGGATTTTCAATGGCTAGTTTTTCATAAGTAGATAGCCAGGCCTTTCTTCCAAGGCACTTCTGGATGGACTAGAACCTCCAACATTTCAGTTAGCAATCAAGTGCATTGACCATTTGTACCACCCAGAAACTCCACTTCATCCATTAGATAATATTTTGTTTTGAATTTTAAATATAAGATTAATTATATTCATTATCTTCAGCTCCTAAAAGCCTAACATTTTAAAGAAGAAAAAGGGAAAGATAAAGAAAAAAGTATCCAGTATATTTGTGATGTCTTTCTTTCTTTCCTTCCTTCCTTTCCTTTACCCTGCTTCTTTCCCTCTTTTGTTTCTTTTAGATAACTCAAACTATTTAGAAAAAAATTTAAATTCTTATGACAAAACTTTTTTAAATATTAAAAAAAGGATTTTATGCTAAAAATAAATAAATAAGTATACCCTGCCCCCCCCCCCAAGCTGCAACTTATACTTTACTGGAGTTGGGAAAATGCATGAGAAAGAACCTGAATAAATACATACATTGTGTAATCTATTTAGGTGGTGAGAAGAAAGAATCTGGTTGATACTATAGAGAACAATTCAAAACACAGCAAAGCAAAAGCATTTACGCATATTTTAGAAAAGGGAATGATTATTCTTGCATGGTCCTGATATTGAAAAATAAATTTCAAACAGCTGGTACAAACACTCACTCTCAAATCTAAATTTTTATAGGGTGTATTATTTGTATCTTACTAGTGGCAAAATTTTCCAAAATTCTGTGGTTATACTGCCTGTCCCTTTCTTAAGAAAATTTTATTTGTGTTTTTGCTTTCAAAACATGCTATTTGAGAAAGGAAAATATTTCTTGTCTAGTGAAATTTAAGAGATGTTTATCAAACATCTACACAGTTATAAAAGAAATACATATTTTAGAATGCTCACAAACTACATCATTCAAATTTTATATTTTACATGGTTGTAATTCTATCTACAATATACATGTTTTGCTTTTCCCCTATATTTTAAAAAGTATTGCTTTAAACAACATTGAGATACCATCTCATCCCAGCATTAATAACAAAGTTCCACAAGACAGAAAATAACAAATGCTGGTGAGGACATGGAGAGATTGGGACTCTCATACACTGCTGGTGGGACTGTCAAATGATACAACCACTGTGGAAAGCAGTATGGTGATTCCTTAAAAAGTTGAAATTAGAAATACCATTTGATCCAGCAATCCTATTACTAGGCATATATCCTAAAGAACTGAGAGCCAGGATAAGAACAGATATATGCACACCCATATTCACTGCAGCACTATTTACAGTAGTGAAAGGATGGAAACAACCTAGGTGCCCATCAACAGAAGAATGAATAAGCAGAGACTCAAAATGTAATCTCATCAATAATCACCACACTATTTCCCTCTGGAGCTCTGGTAGCATAGTGGCTAAAGCACTTGACTGCTAACCAGAAGGCTGGCGGTTCAAACCCACCAGCCACTCCTCGGAAGGAAGGTTGGGCAATCCTACTTCCGTAGTGATACTGCCTCGGAAACCCAAGGAGGGGTCGCTATGAGTCGGGGCCAACTCGACGGCACATAACAACAACAACAACATTTCCCTCTAGCATCTTAGTGCTTGGAAAACTAGGTACAGCAGTTTGAATTAGGGATTCTGGTGCTCCGAACAGCTCACTGAGTCAGAGTGCATCAAACTCAGAGGAGTAGAATTAGAGAGGAGAAAGGGACAGGGAAAAACATAACAAGATCAGAAGATCTATCCTGTGGAGCCCCAACAGGCAGCTGAGAAAGGCCATTGGAGACTTCCCTGGAGGAGCCCCAGCCAGCAGGCAAGAATGGCCATCTGAGACCTCCCTGGGCTAAGGAAGAAGACACACCACACCAGCATACCAGCGACCACACCAGTGTACCAGCAATCACTCCAAGGATCTACCTTCAGCATTGGTAACTTGGGTAGGCTAGGTGCAAATAGGCATGTCCAGCAGCACTGTAATCCAAGCAGAGTCCATTGGTGCTGCAGGAGGGCAGGCCCAGGGAGGTGCTCCCACAGCAGGTCACCAAGCAGGCTTGGGTCAGCTAAGTGGCACTGAGGGGCCTACGCTTGACTTTATCACTAATATTGGGACCACAGATTACTAGCAGGCACTCTCCCTACTCCAGTGCTGCTGAAACCGAGCAGATCTTTGGTGCCATGGATGGGAGGACCCACAGAGGAACTCCCAAGGTGGATCGCAGTCTGGGCCAGTTGGGCCAGCACCGCAGGTGGGTGGGCCCAGAGAGAAGAATCCCCATGGTGGATTGCAGAGCCAGGCAATCTTGGGTTGGCTTTTCAGTGCCAAGGAGCCTTGGGAGTGAGGTTTTTGCATGTGTCTGAGCCTGGTGGAAAGTGGCAACCCCCTAACAACTGGAGTCTTTGCTGAAATTGAGCTGTGGGTCTGTGAATAACAACAGTACAATGTCATCAGTAGCAGCCAGCTCAAGTCCCTAGAAAACATCTAGCAACAGTGAGCTTTCCTTCTTCCACTTCCACCTTCTCCACCAATAACTTCACTCAACCAGTAGAAGAAACCACATTCAGCCACCATAAAACCTCCCAGTTTCTAACTCTAAACCCTCTTTACAACAAACAGAAACCCATATCCACATTCCACACAGTGATTCCACCATCACAATGAAAACTACAGAGTAACCCAGCATACCTGAATTAATACTTAAAAAATAAAATACACCAGCTTCACCTTTTCAAAATATTAAACCATAAAACCAAGACAAAACAAATCAATAAATAACCAACAGTTGAAGACAACCTCAAAATGTCTAGGAAACAACAGGCAACCTCAAATCAAGCAAACAAACAAAAACAGGACAAGGCATTAGAAATAAAACCACAAAAAAGTTTCATTAAACCTGGAGGAAGAGGAGGCAATAGAATTATCTGACAAGAAATTTAGAAGATATGTTTATAGAGTTTTACAAGAGCCTAAGGAAACCCCAAACAGAAACAAGGAGAACACAGACAGTTCCCTGGAAGAACTTAGGAAAATCATTCAAGAACAAAATAATGCACAATTAGAACTCATACAAAAACAGCAGTTAGAAATCCAGAAGATGAATACCAAAATTATAGAATTACACAACACAGTATAAGCACAAAAACGTAGATTAGAACTGGCTAAAGAACGCATATCCCAACTGGAAGACAAATCCCCAGACACCAGCCTGTATGAAGAAAAATCAGAACAAAGATTTAAGACAAATGAAAAGAACCTAAGAATTATATGTGAAGATATCACATAAGACTCTTGGAATTCTAGAACAAGAGGAGGTGGGAAAAAAAAAAAAAAAACACTGAGAAAATTGTGGAAGACATGCTAACAGAAAACTTCCCCTATATCATGAAAGAAGAAAAGATATTTGTCCAAGAAGCTCATAGAACCCCACACAAGATAGATCTCAAGAGAAACACACTGAGGCATATTATAATCAAACTCTCCAAAACCAAAGACAAAGAAAAAATTTTGAGAGCTGCCCAGGACAAAAGAAATATTACTTACAATAATCAAACAGGCTGAGCTCCAATTACTCAGCAGAAACCATGCAGGCAAGAAGGCAATGGGACAGCATACATAAAACACTGAAGGAAAAGAACTTCCAATCAAGAATCTTATATCTAGCCAAATTATCCATCAAATATGAGAGTGAAATCAAGATATACTCAAACACAAATTAAGGGATTTTGTGAAAACCAGACCAACCCTACAAGAAATGCTTAAGAAAATTCTTCCAATAGAGAACCCACAACAGAGAAGAACAAAATCAGGATACATGGCATCAACACTAAAACCAAATCAGAAATAGAAACTCAAAATAAGACCATAAAATATCATACTCTAAAACCAAGGAAGTCAGTCAGCACATGACAACAGCAACTAACCTATCAGAGGGAATAAAACTTCTAGGTACAAACTTCCAAATGGAGAGGAAAACAAGTCAATGTCTTCACAGTAGACACTGTTCTAAAAATGTAGAGACAAGAATATAATCCCAAGTAACCACAGAGAAAAGTAAAAATCCCCCTAAGCAAATTCAGAAGGAAGGAAAACA